AAAACTTTCTGGATGCACTGTAAGTCTCTTTTCCTCCAGACATAAAGACCGCCTCCTTGTCCTTTGTGGTGACCTTAAGGTGAATAACTCTACACTGAGTTCACTATATAGACCACTTATGAATGTATACATGTTGATCATATCCCCACTTACAGTAATCTCCTCTTCTCAAGAGAAAATAAATTCAGTTCCTCTAACCTTTCCTCATAGCTGAGCTCCTCCATGCCTCTTATCAGTTTTGTTGCCCTTCTCTGCACTTTCTCCAGTGCCCCAATATCCTTTTTTGAATTGGTGCCCAAAACTAAACAACATATTCCAGATGAGGTCTTACTAACTGGGTAGCACAGTGGCTAAATGGTTAGTACTTCTGAAGTACTAGTGTTGTTGGTTCAAATCCCAGCCCCAACACCACCTGCCTAGAGCTTGCATTATCTCACTGTGCCTGCCTGGGTTTCCTCTGGGTATTCAAGTTTCCTCCCACACTCTAAAGACATGCTGGTAGGTTAATTGCATCCTGTCTCAATTGGCCCTAGTATGTGTATGTATGATGTAAGTTAGGGACCCCTTGAGGGTTAGGGTCTGATGTGAATGTATATACTAATGATTTGTACAGGGGCAGAATGATGTTGCTCTCTCTGCAGTCTATACCTCTTTGAATACAAGAAAGGATTTTGCTTGCTTTGGAAACTACAGTTGGCATTGCATGCCGTTATTAGGCTTATGATCTTCCCAAACACCCAGATCCTTCTCCACCATTGATTCCCCCAAGTGCATAACCTTACATTTATCAACATTAAACCTCATTTGCCAAACAGTTGCCCAATCAAACAGTGCATTGAAGTTGGCTTGTAAATTGGAGACATCCTGTAAGGATGTTATTCCACTGCATAGCTTGGTGTCATCTGCAAAGACTGAAATGGTATTTTTAATGCCAAAACCTATATCATTTATAAATATATTATAAAAGTAAAGGGAAAAAGTAAGTGAGATTAAAAAAGAATGTATTGTGCTACATCCAGTGGTCCAGCCTGGACACCCAGTAGTTCAATGGGTCTGCTCCTCACTTTGAAAAGTAAAACATGCAGTTTAGTCATATTTTTTTCATTTGCAGATGTGAAATCTGTTCTCCACCTAATGGCTGTGTGTGCATAACATCTGCCTCTCTCATCTGGCCTGCCTGACATTGTAATACAGGGAATTTACCTACTTTATCATTTACTGTATGTGCCATATCTGACTCTTTGCAATTTTATGGGCAAGTTCACTAGGCACCATGTCTAATACAGTAGATTTTTCTTAGAACATTGTTCACAAGGTAGTTCATCGGATCTTTCCTTAACCGCTTAAAGACCGCCCTATAGCAGATATACTGCTAGAGGGCGGCACCTGTGCGCAGAATTATATATATATATATATATATATATATATATATATATATATATATGTGTGTCATTCTGCATTTCCGGGTGGGGGGCACGCGCGAGCCGCACTTGCCCTACCCGAGCCGCCATTCGCGGCCATTGTCAGCTTGAGCACACTGCTCGGATGGCTGTGCACAGTACATCCATCCCGATCAATGTGCTTACAGTGAAGAAGAACACACCCTCCTGCCCCCTAGTAAAACACTCCCAGCACACAGTTAACCCTTTGATCGCCCCTCACATTAACCCCTTCCTGCCCTGTGTCATTAGAACAGTGTCAGTGCTGTTTTTTAGCACTGATCACTGTATTGGTGTCACTGGGGTGAAGGGGGGTTAATCCTCAGGAGGGTAAGTGGTTAAAGTGGTTTTTAAAGGCTAAACATTTTTTTATATTAATACATTCCCTACATTACAGTAAAAAATATTTAGATGCCCTCTCAACCCACTCCCCCCCCCCTTATACTTACCTGAGTCTTCACTCTATCCAGTAGTGTTCCTGTCTGTAGTGGCCAGAGCCATTTGCTGTAAGTCAAACCCTGTGATGAAGGAGTGGAGTCATCTATGGACACAGGCATCAGTGTACATCATACACTGTATACATACATATATATGTATATATTTTGGAGAGAGAGACAGCCTGGGGCAGGTTTCAGAGGGGTTAACTGTATAAGGCAGGTACTTTCCCTTTAGGCCTGTTTAATAACCAGCTGATCAGAGAGGCTGGTTTATGGCAGTTTTGCTGTCTGCAGTGGGGAGATCTGGATGCAGCCTGGAAGTCTCCATAATCTGACTTTTACCTGCTGGGTGAGCTTGCCTCTAACAGGGAATTTCAAATACTGTATGTGCTGTGGCTGGAACACTGGAAGTTATGAAAATCCGACTGTGTATTGTACTGATGGGAAGATTTACGCATTTTGCTCAAGCCAAATATGAAGACAAAGTCACTTTCCTGTTTACTAATAAATAAAGCAGATTTTAAGTTTACTGAACTGTCTGCCAAGAGCCTGTTTACCCCTCTGATCCTGACTATATATATATATATATATATATATATATATATATATATATATATATGTCTGTTTTAGGATTTTTCTCAGACTTCATAAAAGAATGTTTGTTTATGACTAAGGCTGTTTGTTGTTTGTTCAGGTTTTCTTTGAGTGGACACTTATATTCTGTATCAAACAGCTGAATAAGTAATGGTCAGCAATAGCTTGACCTTTTTGACATACAGTAGGTATGATATTATGGCATGTTTGGTACTATACACCATCTAGATTTGAAATGAAACAAAACAAAATGTAGTCAGGTCACCTTTCACATCCAAATCATGAACGGTGGTAGGAATTACAACAGTTTGCTATGTGCCTCCCACTTGTTAGGGGACCAAAAGTAATGGGACAATTGGCTTCTCAGCTGTCCATGGCCAGGTATGTGTTATTCTCTCATTATCCCAATTACAGTGAGCAGATAAAAGGTCCAGAGCATTTGGAATCTTTTGCTGTCAACTCTCAAGATGAGATTGTCAAAGAGCTGTCACTATCAGTGATGCAAGCCATCATTAGGCTGAAAAAAACAAAACAAACCCATCAAGAGAGATAGCAAAAACATTAGGGTAGCTGTGTTTTGAACATTCCTGCACGCATCTCAGCAACACCTCCGGAAGACCACGGGAAACTGTGGTGGATGACCGAAGAATTCTTTTGGTAATAGAAAAACACCACTTCACAACAGTTGGCAATGATCAAGACACTTCTCCAGGAGAGCTGGTTTATTGTGTGTCAAGTCAACAATCAAGAGAGACTTTCACCAGAGTGAATACATTGTTTACCACAAGATGTAAACCATCAGTCCCCAGTTCACACTTGCTCATGAGCCTCAAAAACAGGAAGGCCAGATTAGAGTTTGCCAAACGACATCTTAAAAAAGCCTTCACAGTTTCTGGAACAACCGCTATGGACAGATGGATGACAGTGATGGGAAGAGAAGTAGTATGGAGAAGGAAAGGAACTGCTCATGATCCTAAGCATACCACCTCATCAGTGAAGATGGTGGTGGTAGTGATGGCGTGGGCATGTATGGCTGCCAATGGAACTGCCTCTCTTGTATTTATTGATGATGTGACTGCTGACAAAAGCAAGCAGGATGACATTGGAAGTGTTTCGAGCAATATTATCTGCTCATATTCAAAAAATGCTTCTTGGACGCTGCTTCACAGTGCAGATGGATTGACCCAAAGCTACTTGCAAAAGCAACCAAAGAGTTTTTTAAGGGAAGAAGTGGAATGTTAATGGCCAACTCAATCACTTGACCTGAATCCGATTGAGCATGCATTTCACTTGCTGAAGACAAAACTGAAGGGGAAAATGCCCCAAGAACAGGGGAAACTTAAGGACAGTTGCAGTAGAGGATTGGCAGAGCATTCACCCAGGGATGAAACCCAGCGTCTGGTCATGTCTATGCGTTCCAGACTTCAGGCTGTAATTGACTGCAAAGGATTTGTAACACAAGTATTAAAAAGTGAAAGTTTGATTTATGATTATTATTCTGTCCCATTACTTTTGGTCCCTTAACAAGTGGGAGGCACATAGCTGTTGACCGTCTTCACCTGATTTGGATGTAAATACCCTCAAATTAAAGCTGACAGTCTGCAGTTAAAGCACATCTTGTTTGTTTCATTTCCAATCCATTGTGGTGGTGTATAGAGCCAAAAATGTTAGAATTGTGTCGATGTCCCAATATTTATGGACCTGACTGTATATGATCTATGGCACATGTATGGTACAATAGTACCATCTAGAGCGTCACTAAATGGCGCACCGTGGTCCGGAAAAACTAGACCCGAGGGACAGTCCTGTCCGGACTGCAGTCATGCCACTGCTATAGCTCGGTGTCCTCTTCCGGGCCCTCTCACCCAGCCTCCGATGTCATCCTCACAGTGAGCGGGGTGTGGGGAGCTGCAGATCTGGACTGAGGGACAGGAGCTGGTGATTACCCAGCTTGTAATATGTAAAGACTTCCACTCTCTGCAGCTCAAGACAGAAATCGAGAGTCTTTTCTTATTAGCAAGCCAGGCAATCACCCACTTGTTAACATAATAACTTAAGCAGCTCCTGCCCCTCAGTCCCGATCTGCAGCTCTTCCCACCCCCGCCCGCTATGAGGATGACAGCGGTAATGGGCTGCAGGCTCAGGAGAGGACACCCCAGAAGGAATAGTGCCTCTGCCCTGCCTAAGGTACCATAGGACTGTGCAGGTGGAAGGATTGCATTTAAAAAGGCTCTGTGTTGTGTTAAGGGGTGTTGTGTTGTGTTAAGGGGCACTGCAATGTAAAGGGCACAGCAATGTAAAGGGGAACAGTGATGTGAAGGGGAACTGAGGACACTGTGGGACTTCTTTAACCGCCTCCTGCCCGCCATATAGTAATATGACGGACACAAGGTGGTTCTCTCGTTCTGGGAGGACGTCATATGACGTCTTCCCATTCTAAACGCGCATGCACGGCTCCTGGATGCGCGGCGATCGGCGGTGTGCTGTGTCCCTCGGACACAGCGGATCACCGATCCACGGAAAGAGCTGAAGATGTTGGCTTGGTCATGTGATCAGCTGTGTCCAATCACAGCTGATCACATGTAAATAGGGAAATGTCAGTTATCGGCATTTCTCTCCTCACGAGCTGTCACGCTGACAGCTCGTGAGGAGAGGAGAGCTGGTAATCGGCATTCCTCGGAGGGGACATGTACACAGATGATCAGTGTGCCTTGATGATCTGTGTAGCCCCAGCAGTGCCATCTGTCAGTGTCCATCAGTGCTCATCCATGCCACCTGCCAGTGCCCATCAGTGCCACATTTCAGTGCCCATCAGTGCCATATCAATGCCACATATCAGTGCCATCTGAGCTGCCTTTCAGTGTCACCCATCAGTGCCAGTCAGTGCCACCTATCAATGTCAATCAGTGCCGCCAATCAGTGCCACCTATCAGTGCTAGTCAGTGCTGCCTATCAGTGCCAGTCAGTGCCGCCTATCAGTATGCATCAGTGCCCATCAGTGCTGCCTATCAATACCGCCTAACAGTACCAGTCAGTGCCAGTCAGTGCCACCTAACAGTGCCAGTCAGTGCCACCTATCAGTGCCGCCTATCAGATCCATATATGAGTGCTGCCTTTCAGTGCCCATTAGTGATGCCTGTCAATGCCCATCAGTGCCACCTACCAGTGCCTCCTCATCAATGCCCATCAGTTCCACCTATCAGTGTCTATCAGTGCAGCCTATCAGTGCCCATCACTGCAGCCTCATTAGCGCACATCAGTGAAAGAGAAAAATCACTTATTTACTAAATTTTATAACAAAAACTAAGAAAAAAAACTTTTTTTTTCAAAATTTTCAGTGGTTTTTGGTTTAAGAAAAAATTAAAAAAACCCAGAGATGATTAAATACCACCAAAATAAAGCTCTATGTGTCACAAAAAAAAGATAAAAATTTCATATGGGTAGAGTGTTGCATGACTGCGCAATTGTCATTCAAAGTGCAACAGCGCTGAAAGCTGGAAATTGACCTGGGCAGGAAGGGGGTATAAGTGCCCTGTAGGCTAGTAGTAAAAGAGGGGACTGTGATGTAGAGGGGACTACAGTGTGAAAGGTACACTAAACATGATAATGTACCAGGGGACTGTGATATGTTATATCGCTAGCGAGATTCGGACCTCTGCTGGAAGAAAATTTTGCTAGCCGGACCTCCGAAAAGTTTTAATTCAAGATCCCTGATCTAGAGGTTGAATTGGGAAATATTTTGCCTGTAGGATGTTAGTGTAAAATAGTGAGAAAGGGGCCACACTCATGTGGGATTGTCTACCTAGACTTTCTAAATAAAAGGCCAATAACAGAAGCTGAAAGGGGAATCCATAACGACATAACAACAATGAAGCTCTGTGCTAGAAGAATCTTCACCTGGATGAAGCTAGTGTCTGATCCCAGCAAATGTTTGAAATAGCCAGGAATCCTGGTTGCCTATAGAGATTATGAAGCTGCTATAACTTGAGCTAAGTAACTCTTAGTATATTACTCTGGTATACAGACCATAGTTTGTGCTTATTCACTAAGAAGTAGGTAAAGTTTTATTTATTGAATATATATCTGTCAGTCTTATACTGTATTCCTATAATTGTAATAGTTTGCTTTGTATGTACATTTTTGTTTGGTAAAAGCACATTATATACTACAGAGGTTTCTATGCTTCCTTGCTTTATTGCAAAGTTACCTTAAGAGATGAAAAGCAAAACAGCCAGGAGCATCAATGAGGGACCCGAGAAGACGAGTATCGCTGCAACTCTGTGCAATTCCATTTGCACAAAGCAGGTAAGTATAAACCTGTTTGTTATTTTATTTTTAATTGTTTACAGTCAATTTGACACTCCCCAGTTGCTTGGCTTGGGTTTGGCATGCAGAATATGTACATAACCAATTTGTACACACCTAATAGGGCCAATTTAGACACAAACTAAGTAAGCTGCCTACATATCTTTGGAGTGTGGAAGGAAACTAGTGCCCAAAGGAAATCCACACACACAGGGAAAACTTGCAAACTCCTCGCAGGTAGCGTACTAGCCATGATATGAATCAAGGACCCCAGTGCTAGCTACTGTGCCAACACTAAGGTTTTGTAAGCTATGACACTAGGTGACTTTAGGATCTAGTGCTTTAGTGAACTTAAAGTGATTCTAAACCTAAAAACATTTTTTAATCTTAATGCATTTCTTGCATTAAGGCAAAAAAAGTTTTCTATTTCTCTGTGTGCTGAGCACAGCTGCATCTCCTCTCCCCTCTCTTCCTTTTTACACAGCACTTGAGCAGCAGTAGGAGCCATAGGCTCTTGCTGCTGTCAATCAAATGCAATAAGGAGGGAGTGTGGCTAATGCCTGCTCTTTTAGTCTATGGAGTGCAGCTCCATAGACACACAGTTCGGGAGCACTCAGACACTGTGTGCCTCTATAGCAAACAGCTTGCTATAGGGACACATGAACAAGAGGAGGAGCCAAGATCGTTAACGGGGGGACCCAAGAAGAAATGGATCAGGTGCCACTCTATGCAATACTACTGTACAGAGCAAGTGAGTATAACATGTTTGTTATTTTAATTTACATTTTTTTTTAGTTTAGCAACACTTAAATGTGCTAATTTGGTGCCTAAACTGTAATGTGCTGCAAAGAGAAGTTTTCCTGTGTCAGGAACAAGTTTCATGCAAAATTATATTAAAATACAATATACAGTATATGTGTTTTGTGATATTTTAGTTAGACAGGCTTTTTTTGTGTTGTGTTTGAACAATTTGTTCTGCATAATAGTGTTTCCAACTGATTTAATTAATTGGTTTTACAAAAAAAAAAAATCAAATATGAAATGTTCCTCTAAAATGTAAGCAGCAAGCAATGACCACTTTTTTTTTATTTTTTACTCCTTTTTCTTGCTCACTTTCTTCAGCTGAATTTCTAAGATAAGCTTACTGATTTGAAATTCTTTATGTATTTTTATCGTAACTTTTACAACAGTCAAACTAAAACATGGGAATTATTTATTTTGAACCTCAGTTCTGATGGGCTGTTTTTCTGCTTAGGTGGCTTAGTAAGGTTCAGCAGTTTGCAGTGAGCCACAGAATTGAGGTCCCAAAACAATAGACCTTGTTATGACAAATAAAAGCAAACCAAGACACGTATGCTGTCTTTCATGTTGCAGATCATCCAGGGTCATTCTGTCTACTTTTAATGTAGATATTTACTAGTAATAAACAAAGGCAAAGTCAACTGGCTATAGCTAACAATAAAGCTGATATTATTGTATGATATACAATGGTGGGTAGGATACCAGATCCATGAATGTATAGAAATTTTAGCAAAGAAATTGGAATTTTGAGGCACCACTTACAACAAAATTATACATACAATTTAATTTTTTGTTCTTACAAAAATTAAAATGCCATAGGATCCCGTATTATAATAATAGAGTATTGTTTATGGCAGTCTGATTACATTTTACAGTAACAGTTCCACTAGGCACCCCAAATATCATTGGCCAGATAGTTTTCTATATATGACCATATCCTTATTTACAAACAAGATAATGTACTATAATAATATACTACCCTCATGTCCTGCTATGCCATAGTGCTGATTCTATAATAAGGTAGAGTCCTCTCAATGTATTTTGCAGCTGTACTAGTTTTTCCTTCTTCAGGAGTATTGATTTTTTTTTTTTATAATAGACCCCTTTGAGTCTTTGTTCACTTCTTGGGTATTCTAAGTGAATTCTTTGTTCACTTCGAATACCTAACCCTGTGCAGACTAATTAAATAAACAGAAATTTGCTTTTCACATGATTGGATTATTGAAGTAAATATTCACACAACTTCTTCAGTAATTCTCAATAAACTCAATAAATCTCCAATTTTCAAGTAAATCAGCCTATTTGCATTGTGTATATTGGTAAATTGTAACTAAACCATTAACAGAAAAATTTGCCAGCAGCTGAAGTCTTTTTTTTTTATTAGAAGAGTAGGAGAGACTCGTTTGGCAAAAAAAACCAAAAAAAAAACCATTTAATCTGCCTGCTAGAAAATATATTCTATCTGTAAACACACTGCGGTGCAAATGCAGTACAATGCAATGTCATGGCCTACTAGCGTGGAACCTGTATGAGCAGTGATGGAGTGGAGGCAGGAAGCTCAGGCCTAGGATCACTACTGTAGAGGAGTGTTCTATATTGTGCACATATGCCCTGCATGCTTTCGCATTGTGGAAAAAACTGGCCACTCATAACACCAAGCTTAGTTTCACCTTAAATTGCACCTGACACATGCTGCTAAAAAACAAATGCCTGTAGCTGTGTGACAGTATAGCCTGGTCTCATAACTTGCTCTTAACACGTCTACCTGTCTCCCCTATTCTTAGTCCCCCCAAAGATCCTATGCAATTATCATATTTCTAAAAGGCAGTGTTAGAAATGAGTAGTCATTGTACCTCACATTCCAAACAGGGCTGGATCTAGCCTGTCTGATCAGGAGGTGCAATAAAAAGTGAGGAATACTGTCAACACACCTTAGTCTCTCCAGCTCTCCTAACTGTCACTGGCTGCATGTGAGTCACCAACAATCTGTCAGTCTGTGTGATAGAGATGCAGGACACCAGTATTTCTCTGTTCCCTTGGTACGCTCCTGTACCATGAATCACAACCCCGAAGGATCATATAACTTTACTTTCAGGTATTGCAGAGGCGGTTTTATAGCTCTGGTGAGTTTATTCAGCAATTTTTGGTGGTGGTATTGTCACATTTATACATTTTTTTGTGCACGTTTTTTTGTGTCACATATTTCAAAGTGTGGACTATTTATTTGAACATTTCTTATTCAAGCATTATTTATATATTTTTTTGATTCACGGGTATATTTTTATATTTACTAGCGCAAATATTTTTTTGTGGTATTTGTTACACTTTATTTATTTATGGTGGATTTTTGCAGCTGGTATATCATAATAAGTGATTTATATATATATATTTTTTCCTCTTTCCATAGGCGCCATTATATAATTTTTTTCCATTGCAGAGGCGGTGCAGGAGTGAACAGGAAATGTTGATTTCCTGCCTTTCTGCTTTGAGAAACACATGTACTACGTCAGAGTTTCTGAACCTTTTTTCAGTCATGAACTGTATTTATTTGGTTGAAGATAAGCGACATTGGGGGGGGTGTCCACGATGGCGCTGGGAGCAGACGCTTCTCTCTGAGCTCTGGCGCCTTGTAATCCCATCTACTGCCATCCTGGAGATAGCAGTCACCCACTGCGGATCTGAGGATCTCCGGACCCCGCCTGATACCTGAAGAGGGGTGCTGGGTGATTTTGCCCCCCCTCCGACCTACCGCGGCATGTGAAGCCGCGGTCTTTCCTGATTCCGCGGCTGGGGCGGATCGCCGCCGCGGCTGGGACGATACGCTGCCGCTCTACCCTACGGACCTCATAAACAGGTCAGATACTGGGACGGCCTGAGTGGGTCCCCCTGGCTCTTCTGTCAGTCCCGAGGGCCACACCAAGCCCCTACACAATCCCAGCAAGGCACTGGAAACCCAACTTAGAGGGGAGGTGGTCCTGGATAGGGGGAGAAGCTCCATCTTTTGGCCCCCTTCCCAAGAGGATGAATCAGGGGAACCTGGGACACCTCTTGGCTAGCCTCCACAATGCCTGTACACCTGGCCTAGTCATCATAGCCTCCCGCATTTCTCTGGCTGTATTATAATAATGGATCTTATATGAACTCACCCCGGCGGGGGACACGCACACGTCCCAGGGGAAGATGACTAAGTGATCTCCCTGTGCCGTGCCACCGGAATATTCATCTCGGCAATTGGGCTTCTACACCCTAGTGTATTAC